TTATATACTGTTGCTTGCAAAGTAAATCTCATTTTATCACTTGTAAGCATCATTTATTCACCTAAAAAATAAGTATTTATTGATTGCTTTCTGGGTGCAAAGCAATGGCCAGGTCCTCATGGTTTCTTAAATTCTCACTGGCTTTTATTCCTCCTCCTGATTTGCTACAAGGAGGGGGGATTTAATCAACATTACACGCATTCCATCTGCCACATCTTTAATGCAACCGTAAATGAGCTAGAGCCTGCGGTGGATCCCTGGGGCACTCCACAGCTGCCTACTTTTAGTCATTAAGTTTTCTAAGAGATATTTCAATAAATTCTCCACCTGTGGGCTCAGGGTCAACGCATTAAAATTAATTCAGTAACATAATTACTCAACTAAGATATGTCATTACCATTTCATTCTCTCCATAAACTGTGCTAATCATGTATTTTTTCTAAAAAGTAATTTTTCAATTCAACTTTAATGGAACTTTATAAACTACAATCAAATTTACCCTTGCTGTAACATAGTTACGCTTGCTCTATGATTTTATTGAGAATCATGGTGTATTTTCATTGCTTTCTTTTTCACTGACTCACATTTCCCCAAAATTTAGATGGGATAATCTAGCCAAATGTTCCTTATTCCTACAATCATTTTGGATAGAATCATTATCTCAAACAGTGCTTTGATTTCTACTGATTTTCATTCTTTCATTCATTCAACAAATATTATTTTTCTCTGTAGAAACATAACACTAGGCACTTGTCTTAGTTTGCTTAGGCTGCCATAACAAAATACCATACACTGGGTAGCTTAAACAATAGAAATTTATTTCCTCACAATTCTAGCAGTTGAGAAGTCCCACTGCCACCCCCCACCCCAGGCTCCAGATGGCCCCATCTCTAAGGCTTCCATTACAGGCCCTCCAGCCTGTTGAAATAGAGGCCCTTGGCCTGCTGAAGCATAGAGCTGAATAGATCCATGGTCTGGTTCTGTAAGATCTACGAAGTCTGACAGCTTTCTTTCATTTTGTCTCATTTTTCTATTCCCTTTAGTTTTTCTGTACCAAGCTGGCAGTATATAATCCTATCTCTATTCCTGGCTTCTGTTGAGGTGGCTGTTAAAATTCTCATGAGTCATACCTATGATCTCCGTATTAAATGGCTGTTCACCCACACCCTGAGCGCTATCTTCAGAACAGTCTTCTCATTTTTTGCGATATGGATAGGCTGAGAACTTTCCAAATCTTCCAGTTATGGTTCCTTTTTGCTGAACAATTCCTTCTCCAATTCATCTCTCTCCTTTCTCATATTTTAGTGTAAGCAGTCAGGAGTAACCAAGCCTCCCTTTCAACACTTTGCTTAGAAATCTCCTCAGCTAAATATCCAATTTTATCACTCACAAGTTTTACCTTTCACAAAACACTAGAACACAATTCAGCCAAGTTCTTATGCCATTTTCTAACAAGGATTGTTTCCTTCCAGTTTCCAATAACATGTTCCTTATTTCCCATCTGAGATCTCACCAGAATCGCCCTTAACATCCACATTTCTCGCACGCACCTCAAAACTCTTCCAGCCTCTGCCCATTACCCAGTTCCAAAACTTCCTCCACGTGCTTAGGTACTTATTACAGCAGTACCCCACTTCTTGGTACCAGAATTTATATGTCAGGTTCTCCAGAGAAACAGAACCAATAGGGTGGAGGTACAGGGAGAAAGGAAGTGAGAGGCAGAGAGAGAGGGAGATTTAGAAAGAATTGACTCACATGATTATGGACTCTGAGAAGTCCTAAGATCTGCAGGCAGCAAGCTGGAGACGCAGACAGTTTAGTTCCAGTCTGAGTCCAAGGGCTTAAGAACCAGGAGAGCCAATGGCTAGTTCCAGCCCAAAAGCTGGCAGGCTCAAGATACAAAGAGAGACAATGTTTCAGTTCAAGTCTGAAGGCAGGGAGAGACTTGTGTCCCAGCTCAAAGGCAGCACCAGTTCCCTCTTGCTCAGCCTTTTTGTTCTATTTAGGTCTTTAATTGATTGGATGAGGCCCACCCACATTAAGGAGGGTGATCTCCTTTACTGATTCAAATATTAATCTCCTTCAGAGACACACCCAGAACGTCTGACCAAATATCTGGGCACTCTGTGGCCCAGTCAAGCTGACACATAAAATTAACCATCAAAGCATTATAGGACTTACAAATATGATTAAGACATTTTTTTCCCTTGAAAAGCTTACAAATTAGTGCCAGAGACAGACTAGAGACAAGGTAGAGGGAGACAGATGCTATAATAAAGGCAAAGAAACGTGTTGAGGAAGAGGAGAGAGACAATCTTTTAATTTTGGTTTGGCATATCAAAAGGGGGTTTCGGGCTTCCCTGGTGGCGCAGTGGTTGAGAGTCCGCCTGCCAATGCAGGGGACACGGGTTCGTGCCCCGGTCCGGGAAGATCCCACATGCCGCGAAGCGGCTGGGCCCGCGGGCCATGGCCGCAGAGCCTGCGCGTCCGGTGCTCCGCAACGGGAGAGGCCACAACAGTGAGAGGCCTGCCTACTGCAAAAACAAAACAAAACAAAACAAAAACAAAAACAAACAAACAAAAAAACAAAAGGGGGGTTTCATGCGAGTCCTGCCATCTGAATAGCCTTGAATATAAGTAGAATTTGGGTAACTGGTGATAAAGGAGAGGAGGGAACTATAAATTGTAGGTGCACAGTGCACAGTGTGTGAAGATGCATAGTATAATTATAACCAGTACTAGCCTGCAATGTCTTGGATATCAATCTGTCAAGTAAAAACAATTAAAAAGCAAATTAAATCTTTAAAGCAGTATTCAATAAAATGCCAAGGCAGGGGATGGGGTGTGTTGCATTCATATTACACAGCTGACCTTCATACTACCTTCTTTCATCACTTTTCTCCCAAATCTCCCACATGAATGACCATGCATGGCAGCTACTCCAAAGCCTCTCTTCTCCTACACTCTAAAACCTCCAAAACATCCTCCCGACCCAGCCTATGCACAGGTTTTTGTTTCCTCTGCCTCGTTTTTACTGGTACTTTTTCTTCCATCAGTAACTCTCTGTTCTTTATAATAAAAATTCATCTAGGGGCTTCCCTGGTGGCGCAGTGGTTGAGAGTCCGCCTGCCGATGCAGGGGACGCGGCATGAGGATCCCACATGCTGCGGAGCGGCTGGGCCCGTGAGCCATGGCCGCTGAGCCTCCGCGTCCGGAGCCTGTGCTCCGCAATGGGAGGGGCCACAACAGTGAGAGGGCCGCGTACCGCAAAAATAAATAAATAAATAAATAAATAAATAAATAAATAAATAAATAAATAAATCACTTGATATGCAAAGACTACAATATAGACGTTGAAAGGGTGTAGTGGGAAGTCTGGCTGGAAAGGGCTAATATCTATGGGCATTTCCTATGTGGCATGCAATATTTAACTTTGAAGGCCATGCTGTTAGTCTGAAGTTTATTCCACAGCCCTTGGGAGCAGTGGAAGATTAGCGATTAGGAAACTGACATGTTCGGATTGTACTTTAAGGTCTACCTGTAAGGTTAATGCATGTAAAATGGATTAGATGGAGGCAAAGATGAGAGGCAGGAATACCAATAAGGAAGCTGAGAAGTCCAGTTGAGAAGTGCTCAGCATCCATCATGTTGGATTTTCTTGGCTATAAGAAAGAGAGGTTTGTGCAGACCATTATAAATATAAGGTGTTTGTTTAAAGGATACCCAGACAGTGGGACAGGAACTAGACCAGAAAACCCTCAGGATCTAAGGCAGCTCTGGTGATGGGGGACTCTCTTCACCTTTTCCTCTCATGGTCTCTCGCCCACACTTCCTTGGGTCTGTTCCACTCTCTTCTTGGGCTCAAAGACCCATCCTCTCCTTACCTTCACATCCAAGCCACAGAAGGAGGCTCTCAAGAATATTCAGTTAATTAAAGCACCCCTGTAGGCATCCCCAGTCAGCAGCCTCCAGTACAGAGAGAAGAGCTGGTCAATCCTTTACAGACTGAGTGGGCTGTCAGCTGGGCAAGTGGGGAAGAGGCAGTGGATGTGGCTGTCACCATAATTAATACTTGTTATATGTTTGGAGAGAAGGGTGTGACTTCTATCTTAGGCCAAAAATCAATTTAATTAAGTATCATTCTTCATTATGCCATAGCTAGCACTCTGACCTTGACCAAATCACTTCTATTCTCTATGCCTTCGTTTCTTCATCATTCAAGTGGAGATAAAAGTAACAACACTTCGAATTTAGCATTCTTCAGAATTATTAGCCATATTTAGTTAACGTGAGGTTTCACGTCTGTGCCACTTCTGGTTAACTAAGAATAACAATACCTTATATGTGTAATTACAGTTTGCAAATCAAGTTCACATCCATTTGATTTGATCCTCACAAGAGCACTTTACGGTAGGTAAGACAGATATCATTACCTCCATTTTTCTGAGATCCAGAGATGTAGTCAAGGTCACGTAGCTCTTAAGTGACAAAACCAAGATCTGAATTCCTATCTTGAAAACCCAAGTCCAATACGATCTCCTCTTATTTGGTCTCAAGATTTCAGTTGCTTGGTCTCAAAAAGTGTAGCTTTGGGGCTTCCCTGGTGGCGCAGTGGTTGAGAGTCCGCCTGCCGATGCAGGGGACACGGGTTCGTGCCCCGGTCTGGGAAGATCCCGCATGCCGCGGAGCGGCTGGGCCCGTGAGCCATGGCCGCTGAGCCTGCGCGTCCGGAGCCTGTGCTCCGCGGCGGGAGAGGCCACAGTGGTGAGAGGCCCGTGTGCCGCAAAAAAAAAATCTGCTATTGGCAGATCTGCTGTAGGTATCAAAACTATCGTCGTAATACTCTTTCTATTCTTATGTCTTCTTTTTTCATGCCTCTCCTGTTTTGTATATTTCTAATTTATTACAGAAGTCCCTGTTTGGCTTTTTAGTAATGAAGGATTTGGTTGTAGATGTTCCAAAGCTTCCCTTGGCATTGACCCTTGTTTCCTGAATTGTAGGGAGACACTCCATCACAGTCACTACTCTCACCTCAGCTGGGAACACTGGGGAGGATGGAATCCCGAGCTGCACTTTTGAACCCGACATCAAACTTTCTGATATCATGATACAGTGGCTGAAGGAAGGTGTTACGGGCTTGGTCCGTGAGTTCAAAGAAGGCAAAGATGACCTGTCGGACCAGGATGAAATGTTCAGAGGTCGGACAGCAGTGTTTGTTGATCAAGTAATAGTTGGCAATGCCTCTCTGAGGCTGAAAAATGTGCAACTCACAGATGCTGGCACCTATAAATGTTACATCATCACTTCTAAAGGCAAGGGGAATGCTAACCTCGAGTATAAAACTGGAGGTGAGTTACTTTTGAAGAGAGGGAAAGAAGGTGCCAGAAGATATTTGAGACTAGAGAGTGTGAATTGCTGATGAAATGTCATATTATGCTCATGAGTGACTAATATCAAAGACCATCCAAATTCTGCTAGCAGCCATGCTTGCTGTCCAAGACCCACAGCAGCTCCGGAAGTAACCCACTATAATATTAGGTCTTAAAATCTTTTGCTCAGGACTCTAGCCTCTTCTGAATTTTCTCATATAGTCCCTGAAATATTTTGCCAGAATATGTTTTCTCCATCAGTAGCTCTTTGTTCTTTCCCTTTGGTCTTGCTAGTGAGAGAAGACTATAATCTGGTCTGAGACTTTTCTGTGCTAAGTAGGCCCTAGCCCAAATCTGAAATCAGTATCTCCAGGGACTCATGACAGTGGAACCCATCATAGGAGAAGTTCAAAGGTAATTGACCAAAACAATATTGGCCTATAAACTCACTAATCCTCCTCCAATGAAATCCATGCTTTCTTACCAACTAAATTTAACATATTTTCTGAATTTATGTACAAGGGACAGAGATATTGGAAGGAGTAAAAAGATGATTAAGGAAACAAAGATAATTGTCCTTCCTTCTGTGGAGCTGAGAGTGTAGAGCTTATAGAGTTGAGGGTCAGGGCAGAGATGAGAAACATATGTAAATAAGAAAAATATGTAGATAAGAGACATATCTACAATAATTAGTAAAGTGTATTAAATGCTTTAAGAGAAAATATAAATAGAGTGATTTGGAGATTCAGAGGAAGAAAGGGATCATATCCAAATGCATAGGGAGGAAAGGGACAGGAAGGCCCCCATAGAGAGAATTTGACATTTGGGAGGAGCCTTGAAGGATAGGCAGAAAGTATCCTGAGGCAACCCAGGCTAAGCTAGCCTGCACAGATCTTTCTTGGACCTTTCATAATATGTGTATGTAGTGGTTTGAAGCATAGATCTAGTCAGACCTAGGCACATACAGTGGCCTGGGCAAGGCAACCTCACTGAGCCTCAGCTTCTTTATCCTAAAATAGGGGTTAATAAAGTCAGGTCAAAGGGACACTGGGGCCAACTGAAAGGGCTTCCAATGGCAAAGCTGGAACCATCTGAGCAACAAAATAAACAACATAGTATTAAATTATAACTAACCATAAAATAAATACACGAGTCCATACTTGTATGAGGGAGATGAAACAAATCTTCTTTATAGATGAATTCCAAATAATGTATTTAGATCTCTCCCCGTCCAGGAAGTGGAGCTTAGAACTTCCCCCTCCCCGACCACCACACTTAGGGTGTGTTCGACTTAGTGAAGTCCAGCTTCCAAAGAAACCTGGCAAACACAGACTCAGCCAGGTGATCAAAGTTAACATCCCCATGATAAATCATGTTAATAGCATGCACTCTCTGATGTGCCATGATGAGAAGGGCACTTTTACTTCTATAGTTTTCCTCTCCCAAACCCATAACCTCAGTCTAATCTTGAGAAAAACATCAGACAAATTACAATAGAGGGGCATTCTACAAAATACCTGGCCAGTCCTCCTCAAAACTGTCAAGATCATGCAAAACATGGGAAGATTGAAAAACTGTCACAGACCAGAGGAATCTAAAAAGACATGACAAATAAGTGCAATGTGGTATTCTGGATGGGATCCTGGGATATAAAATGGACATTAGTGGAAAAACTGGTAAAATCCAAATAAAGGCTGGAGTTTAGTTAATAGTAATATACAAATGATAGTTTCTCAGTTTCGACAAATGCATCATGGTTATTTAAGATGTTAATATTAGGGGAAACTGGGTGAGAAGTATACAAGAACTCTCTGTACTGTCTTTGCAACCTTTCTGTAAATCTAAAGTTATTCTAAAATTAAAAGCTTATTTTGTTAAATGGGCACAATAATAGATATCCCTAGGGCTGTTGTGAGGAACAAAAAAAAAATGTCTGGAATTTGGTCCCTAGCACAGAGCACACCCTCAATAAATGGTGGTTCATTGTCATGTGCACTCAGGTTCCCACATCATCTCCCAGGAGCTTGTGCCCTGCCTGCTCCAAGTATGTGCTCCAAGTACGTCTCTCCTGCTAGGCAGCAGGCTCTTGAAGGGCATGGCAAAGGCTTTCCTTCCACCTCTCACTCCACACTAGCACAGTCCTGGGCAAAGGAAGATGCTAAATTAATAATTTGTATCTTGCCCTTTTGGCATAATAAACATTTTACAGGCCAAAGTCCAGGCCTTAACATTTTCTTTAAGTGTCTCTCTGCCTAGATGGAGGAGGAAGTTAGTCTTAAATTCAAAAGGTACTTGCCTCTCCAGTGAGGAGAATTATCTTAAAAGAAAACAAATGCCTGTCTTTATTCATGGATACCAGGGCTGGGCAGTCTCTACCCAAGCAAACTTCAGAGCCCCATGATGACAAGGCCTGTGTGTGGAATTTCTGTGGGTAGGTGAATGCTGTTTGTTTCTTCCTTCTCCCTCCCCACGCTTTTACACTCCAGGCAGAAAAATTACATAAAATTCAGGCGGCTTCATAGGTGCCTAGGAAAATAAATACCCAGTTTCCCTAATTGATAATTTTTTTGTGTGATCACTGGAACTCCTCTTACTTGGAGAAATTTATTTGTTGTAACAAGTATACCTAGAACTTAGGTCCTTGGAGTTTGTGATATTGTCCAAAGTGTCGTGATGTGTAGCAGTACTATGAGCAAATCATTTTTTGCACCTACAATACAATGGGTCGGTCATACACAGACAGCCCACTGGGAAAGTACTGAGTCACTTCAATGTGTTTTTAAGACCTAGCACTTCAAAGGCTATATTGTCTTATCCGTCTGACCTTGACCCCTGCCCCTTTTTGACCTTCAACCCTGCAGCCTTCAGCATCCCAGAAGTGAACGTGGACTGTAACGCCACCTCAGAGAGCTTACGACGTGAGGCTCCCCGATGGTTTCCCCAGCCAACAGTGGTCTGGGCATCCCAAGTTGACCAGGGAGCCAACTTCTCAGAAGTCTCCGACACCAGCTTTGAGCTGAACTCTGAGAATGTGACCATGAAGGTTGTATCTGTACTCTACAATGTCACGATCAACAACACATACTCCTGTGTGATTGAAAACAACCTTGCCAAAGCCACAGGGGATATCAAAGTGACAGGTGGGTCCCTTTACACGTTTGGTGTGGGTTTATTGGGGTTATAATCTAGTGTAAACTAAAATCTAATTTCTTTAACAGATATATTATGTACCAGGGCACAGAAAGTTTCACAGAGATCTCGATCACAATTCCAGTTGGGATTGCATTATGTAAGAAGAAAACTAATACGAAACAATATTTATGGCATACAGGTCAAAGGTGGCAATGAGTTTTCATCTTGTATACCTTCTTACTGTCTGGAGAGCAGTGTTTAGGATTCTGAGGCCCTAACTCCGAAGGACTGGTTTGGTAAAGCAGTGGAGAAGTGATGATTATTTGAAATCCTTTATATATTCAGCTGGTGATCTACATCCCGAGTCCCCCCAAAATTGGTTTGGGTCTATCCTGCCTTTGAGAAGACTTCTGATTTGAAGACTAAAGGTCTTAGAGTCTGCCTTAGTCTTTCTTATTCAGTCCTTCCAGGACTTGCTCAAGATCCCACTAATATTGGCACAAGATTAATCTGAAAGCTCCAGATTAAGCTGGCCTCCCAGGCTGAGAAGACCAGGAGCCAGGGAGGTTCAACCCCCTACTCTCCCTGCAGTGCTTTAGTATATTACAAAACCTAGGGTTGAGCTAGTGTCAAGGAAATGCATAGGCCTGAATTATGAATTTTAAAACCATCCCTGCTGGGGTTAAATTGAATTCAAGCTATAGGGGAAGGAGTGTATCAGAACCACTGTCTTATATCAAGCCTAGTACCAAACAGAATACCTTGCACATTTTAAGTACCCTTTAAATGTTTGCTGAATTTATCTGAATAAACCATATTTTCATCAGCTATTTTTTAAATAATTTTTATTTATTTATTTATTTGGCCGCATTGGGTCTTCATTGCTGGGCGCGGGCTTTTCTCTCTAGTTGTGGTGAGCAGGGGCTACTCTTCGTTGTGGCGCGCACAGGCTTCTCATTGTGGTGGTTTCTCTTGTTGCGGAGCATGGGCTCTAGGCACACAGGCTTCAGTAGTTGTGGCACGTGGGCTCAGTACTTGTCGTTCACAGGCTCTAGAGTGCAGGCTCAGTAGTTGTGGCACACAGGCTTAGCTGCTCTGCAGCATGTGGGATCTTCCTGGACCAGGGATCGAACCCGTGTCCCCTGCACTGGCAGGTGGATTCTTAACCACTGCACCACCAGGGAAGTCCCTCATCGGCTATTTTTTAATTAAAATTTATATATACAAAAAGGCAACCTATGGAAAGGGAGAAAATATTTTTAAATCATATGTTTGATAAGTGATTAGTATCCAGAATACATAAAGAACTTCTATAATTAAACAATGAAAAAGTCAAATAACTTGGTTAAAAAATGGGCAAAGGACTCGAACAGACATTTCTCCAAAGAAGATATACAAAATGGCCAACAAGTATATGAAAAGATGTTCAACATCCCTAGTCATCAGAGAAATGTAAACGGAAACCACAATATCACCTCATACTAATTAGAATGGCTACTAACAACAACAACAACAGAAAACAACAAGTGTTGGTGAGGATGAGAAGAAATTGGAATACTTGTGTATGATGGTGAGACTGTAAAATGGTGCAACCACTACAGAAAACAGTATGGGAGGTTCCTCAAAAAACTTAAAATAGAACTTCCAAATGATCTAGCAGTCCCATTTCTGTGTATTATGTACAAAAAAACTGAAAGCAGTGTCTCAAAGATATATTTTCACACCCATGTTTACAGCAGCATTATTCACAATAACCAAGAGGAGGAAGCAGCCCCAATGTCCACCAGCAGATGAATGGATAAACAAAATGTGGTATACATACAATGGAACATTATTCAGCCTTAAAAAGGAAGGAAATCCTTTTGCATGCTACAACATGGATGAATTTTCAGGATATTATGCTATAAGTGAAGCCAGTCACAGAAAGATAAATATTATTTGATTCTACCATTTGATTCCACTTGAAAAGTATCTGAAGTAATCAAATTCATAGAAACAGAAAGTACAATGATGGTTACCAGGAGCTGGGGCCAAGGGGAAAGGATACAGAGTTGTTGTTTAATGGGTATAGTTTCAGATTTGCAAAATGAAAAAGTTTGGAGATTTTTTTTCACAAGAATGTGAATATACTTAACATTACTGAACTGTACACTTAAAATGGTTAAGATAGTAAGTTTTATATTACGTTTTTTACCACAATAAAAAAAGTATCTAGTAAAAAATCATATATATGAGAAAGAGAGAGCTCTTCCACTATCCTGTGAAACAAACTGGTGACTGTACCAATTAGAACACTTTTAGTTGCCTATAACAGAAAACAAAACCAGCTGAAGCCTAAGCTAAAAGAAGGAATTGATTAGAAGGGTATTAGGATGTCTCATGAAACCAAGGACAGAAAGTGCAGTGTGGCTTCAATAACAGCTGGACCCAAGAACTTAAATTCCATTCTTTGTCTCTCATTTCGACTTTATTCTCTTTGCTCTCTAATTTACTGTCTTGTTTTAGTCTATAGGGCAGAATATGGTTGCCAAGAGCTCCTACCTTTAAAAGTCTCTTTCACTCAAGAGAGTAACTAGACTGAAGCTCAATCCCTCAGTCTGACTCTATTGAATATATTCCCAGAACAGCTTAACTTGGGTCAGCTGCCCATACTTAGACCAATGAGGCAGTACCTGGATGGAAGGCCTTCCCAGAAGAGAAGGGGGAAATAAGCATTAGGCATTTTAAAACAATGAGTGTTAACAACAGTATTTCAGTTTAGATCTCAATTAAAAGCTCCAACTATATAACTAATGTCTTCTAATAGAAATGGCAATAACCGAACAAACCACAGAAACTGGGCACAGCTTTTGTTCAGTGAGCAGGTTCTTTTTCCATACATGCTTATTGGAAACATCAGAACAAGTGTTCCATGTACCAGTACTAGGACTATATCCAACTTTTAGAAGCATGACATAGCTCAAAATTAAGATAAAATAATATAACTCCTTCTTACCATGCACAAAGTAAGTTTTTCAACAAATGAATAACTATACTGCTAACTATACTGCTAATCTGGGTCATTCATTCAACAAGTATCTAGTTAGTGCCAAATATATACAAAGTAATTTGTAAGTCCCATGAAACACTGGGATGAATAGCACAGTTGTCATAAGAGAAGTTAATCAGTGTGGATACGGTACCCACAGGAAAGAGTAGTTAATTAGGACTGTAGTGGCTCAATAGATGAGGAAGAGTTCAAGCTGGGTTTTGAAGAAAAAGAATGTTTTTGATAGACTAGGAAGGCATGAAGTCAGAAGCCTATGTCAATGTCCAGGGGAGAAATTATGAGGGCCTTCACTGGGGCAGCGACAATGGGAAGGAAAGGTGGGAGAATCAAAAGTTAATGAAGAAAATAATCTACAGGCCTTGGTGACACAAATGTGAAGGACAAGAGAAGGAACAAGTCAAAAGGGGTCTGATATTGCTATAACCAGGTTGCTTAGTAATGCTACCAACAAAAATGAAAATGTAGGAAAAGCAACATGTCTGGTAAAAAGATGAAGATTTTAGAGCTGTTGAGTTGAAAGTGCCCACTATGTACAAAGGTAGAGATGTCCAATGCTTAGCACATTACCCAGCATACAGCAAGTCTGGGGGAGACTGCTTCATCCCTCCTCCACATGTTTCCTTCCACGGGAAGAGATCCCCACCAACGTAACCCTTCTAGTCTCTCTTCTCTCCTCTTTCACTCTTCCGCAGAGGAAGAGAAACGAACTTTCCCGACTGGTGGGTTTATGAGAGAAGCTGGGTATAAGTGGCTCAGCTCCTCGTTTTCCCTTCTCTCTCGCGCTATAACCAGAGGTATACATTCTACTCTTCTCCTCTAAGCCGGCAGCTTTCAGGGGTAGAATCTGCCCTTGTGGGAGGAAGCCTGCCCCAGTCTCGTGCTGCCTGTCACTGGGGAAGTCTGGGCTGCAGCCCACTTCCCTGCAGACAAAGCTTAATCCTTTATTATCAGATTTATCAGGAATAAAGGTGATTTTAGTCTTCCAGTTGCCTCACTTTGTCTTGCTCTTTAATTGGTTCAGAACTCAGCTGGGGAGAGGGTGTTTATTGGACCCCTTTGAACTCAAACAACAGGTGCTCAAAAATATTTGCTGAATAATTATATTTTTAACTGACATATAGTAGCAACTGTAAATACAGATGTGGAATTTAGGACAGAATTTGGGCTAAGGAGGTGGATTTGGAAAATGATCAGCTTAATGGAAGTAATGTTTATTAGGCTTGAGTGGGGTTACTGTTATTGTCTTGGCAGCTAATACTTACTGAATGCTTACTATGGTGCCAGGTTCTGTTCTAAGTGCTTTACTTGTATTAACTCATTAATCCTCACAAGAATCCTATGAAGTTGATTATTATTATTTTGGCCCTATTTTATAGATGAAGAAACTGTAGCACATATAAAGTAACTGGCCTAAACTTGCCTGACGTCACACAGCTAGTAAGTATCAGAGCTGAAATGAGCTAAATGACACTGGACTGTCTAGGGAGAAAATAGAGTAAAGAGTAATTTAATTTCTTCACTTCTGCCTTTCTCTACTTCAAAATGAGAACAATACTTTCTCATTACTCTGTAGTGGTGTGATGAAAGCAAATGACACAGAACCTGTAAAGGTCACTGCCTAGAGGGAAAAAAACGTGTCTGACACCAAGGACTGGCCATGGCTGTTGGTTTAACCTATTCTTTATTTGGTAACCAATAGCGATGTGTTTATTGGATTCGTTTTTCATTTGGCTGAATGCTCACTGGAGTGGACGAGAGAATGGAACTTCTTTGCAGAAAGGGAAAGCTCTGCTTTTAAGCTAGTTACAGAAAGGTAGAGAATGAGGTACAAAATTGCCCTCAAATTAGGGCACAAGTTATATTAGGAACAATCTGTTCTGGGTTTTGGGGGTGTTTTTCTTTGCTAACCAGCCATGTGAAGGAGACATCCAGCTTTTCCTCTATGACCCTGAACTTTTTTCTCTCCCTTTACAGACTCTGAGATTAAAAGGCAAAGTCACCTCCAGCTGCTGAACTCAAAGGCTTCCCTGTGTGTCTCTTCTGTTGCCATCACCTGGGTACTCCGGCCTCTCTGCCCTTACCTGATGCTAAAATAATGCACCTTGGCTACACAGAAACATGCAGAGTCACTGGTACGACAGGTGAGATGAATCACGAATGGTGTCGGGGAGCCACTGTGTGTGTTTGTGTCCCTAACAGGAATCAAGCAGCTCCCAGCACCAGCCTCAGAGAGAAACATTTAATAATGTCAGGGCAGTAGGCACTATTTCCACTACTATTGTGAAAGGTAAGCATTTGTTAACAAAGAGTAGAGACCTCATTGACAGACTTACAGGAAAAACAACTCTATGCAATTCAAATATTTGTGTAAATTCAAACACCTTTTCATTTATTGAGTCATCCTTGAAGGCAAACATATCTTATTGAAGAGAAAGAGATATTTGGCCCCGACTCATTACTCTGGATTTCACAATGAAACATCATGACATGAGCATAATCGCTCACATAAGTGGCCTCCTCCCAGCCCCACTCAACAAAGCCCCTGTTGACTGGAGACTTGACAAAGCACTCACCAACTAGCCCTCTTGCTAAGACTTCCCACTCTCACTTCACTCCTTTGGCTCTAATTACTGGTAGGACATCTCTTTCTGAATATTCTTCTGCATGTGGAATTTGTATACAACTGAGCTTGTGAAGTTACAGTCAACATTACCACATTACTCAGTGGCACTGCCACCATGCACCAGGCTCACAAGAGCCTTAGAGCTATTTTTGTCCCCCTCTGTCCTTCAGGTCAATCTGTCACCAAGCTCTACTATTTGCCCATGTTGTCTTTCAGATTGACCCTAATCATCTCATGCCCCGACTAGTTCTAAAACCTTGTACTTGCTCCTCCCTCTGTTTCAGGTGATAGGAAACAAGGTGCCAGAATAAAATTTTTCAAATGCTATTTTCATCACAGCAGTCCTTTACTCTGCAACCTAAAGTGACTCTCTGGGCACTAGTATATCAAAGTTAAAGTCCTCAGCTATGCAGTCACAGCTCTCTAAGTTTCTCTCCCTAAGGTTCCTCCTTCTCTCAGCTACCTACTACTGCTCTCTGGCCTTGCTCCCTCTCTCTCTGCCCCTTCCTGGAAATCTCCTCTACTCTATGCTAATTCAGGTCCACACTTCCTTCACCCATTTCCTGCTGGTCCTTTTATCTCACATCCCCTTGGTGAGCATGTATAATTTATAATATCTTACACTCTCTAAGGCACATATATTCCTTGCCTAGATTGTTAAGTCCTCAAGGGAAGACAAAAATCTGTTTATCTGCTTTGCTTTTTTGAGTGTGGTAAAAAAAATTTTACATTTATTTTAAAAAATAGTGATTGAGATGACCTAGAGGGGTGGGATAGGGAGGATGGGAGGGAGGCTCAAGAGGGAGGGGATATGGGGACATGTGTATGTATACGGCTGATTCATTTTGTTGTGCAACAGAAGCTAACATGGTATTGTGAAGCAATTATACTCCAATAAAGATGTATTTTAAAAAAGTGGTTGAAATACAAATATAAAGTTGTATACTTAGATAAAAGGTAGTACATGGATATTATAAAAATTGCAAAGGTGGTATGCAAACAACGAAATCAGAGGAAACCCTTTCTTATGGGGCTGTTGTGGGATCAGGTCAGATCATGTTTCCCGAGGTAAGCTTGTGTTGCTATAAACTTCCCTCTTAGAACTGCTTTTGCTGTGTCCCATAGATTTTTGGATTGTGTTTTCATTTGTCTCTAGGTATTTCTTTTTTATTTCCTCAGATTTCTTCATTGACCCATTGGTTGTTTAGTAGCATATTGTTTAGCCTCCACATGTTTCGGTGTGGTTTTTTTTTTTTTTGGCAGTCTTTTTTTCCTGTAGTTGACTTCTTTTGTTTCATAGCACTGTGATTGGAAAAGATGCTTTATATGATTTCAATTTTTAAAAATGTACCAAGGCTTGTTTTGTTGCCGAGCTTGTGCTCTATCCTGGAGAATGTTCTGTGTGCACTTGAAAAGAATGTGTATTCTGCTTTTGAATGAAATGTGATACATATATATATATATGGATAGATAGATATAGACATTAAGTCCATCTCATCTAATGTGTCATTCAAGGCCAGTGTTTCCTTACCGATTTTTTGTCTGGAAGATCTGTCCATTGATGTAAGTGAGGTGTTAAAGTCCCCGACTACTATTGTGTCACTGTTGATTTCTCCCTTTAGGTCCATTAACATCTGCTTTATGTATTTAGGTGCTCCTATGGTGGATGCATATATATTCACAATTGTTAGATCTTCATCTTGGCTTGATCCCTCGATCATTATGTGGTGTCCTTCTTTGTCTCTTATAGCAGTCTTTATTTTAAAGCTTATTTTGTCTAATATAAGTTTTGCCACCCCAGCTTTCTTTTGATTTCAATTTGCATGGAATAACTTTATCCATCCCCTCACTTTCAGTCTGTGTGTCTTTAGATCTGAAGTGAGTCTCTTGTAGGCAGCATGTATACAGGTCTTGTTCTTTTATCCATTCAGCCACTCTACATCTATTGACTGGAGCATTTAGTCCATTTAAATTTAAAGTAATTATTGAGATGTATGTGTTCTTGTTGCCACTTTGTTAATTGTTTGGGGTTTGTCTCTTTCTTGTTCCTTTCTTCTTCTTTTGTTCTCTTGTGATCTGATGACCATCTTTAGTGTTATGCTTGGATTTCTTTTACCTTTTTGTGTATCTAGCATAGGTTTTCGATTTGTGGTTACCGTGAGGTTTTTATATAGCAATCTATATATATATATATATATATACATGACTGTATTAAGTTGCTGATCTCTTAATTTCAAATGCATTTTAACAACCCTGCATTTGTACTCTCCTTCCCTCATGATTACTGTTTTCGATATATTTTACATCTATTTGTTTTGTGTATCCCTTAACTGCTTACTGAGGATATAGGTGATTTTTACTACTTTTGTATTTTAGCCTTACTAGCTTTGTGCATGATATGATTTCCTACATTTATGTTTGCCTTTACCTATGAGCTTTTTCCTTTCATAATTTTCATGTTTCCAGTTTTGGCCTTTTCTTTTTAACTTAAAGAGTTCCTTTAACATTTCTTGTAAAGCTGGTTTGGTAGTGCTGAACTCTTAACTTTTGCTTGCCTGTAAAGCTTTTGACCTCTCCATCAAATCTGAACAACAGTCTTGCTGGCTAGAGTATTCTTGGTTGTATGATTTTCCCTTTCATCACTTTAAATATATTGTGCCACTCCCTTCCGAACTGCAGAGTTTCTGCTGAAACGTCACCTGATAGCCTTATAGGAGTTCCCTTGTATGTTACTTGTTGCTTTTCCCTTGCTGCCTTTAATATTCTCTCTTCATCTTCAGTTTTTGCCATTTTAATTACAATGTGTCTTGGTGTATTCCTCTTTGGGTTAATCCTGGATGGGACTCTGCACTTTCTGGACTTGGATGTCTATTTCCTTTCCCAGGGTAGTGAAGTTTTCAGCTATTATGTCTTCAGATATGTTTTCAGTTCCTTTCTCTCTTGGCCTTCTGGGACCCCTATAATGTGAATATCAGTACACTTGATGTTGTCCCAGAAGTCTCTAACTGTCCTCTTTTCATTACTTTTTCTTTTTTCTGTTCAGCATCAGTGACTTCCACTACTGTCTTCCAATTCACTGATCCATCATTTAGTCTACTGTTGACTCCTTCTAGTATATTTTTCATTTCAGTTATTGTATTCTTCATCTCTGTTTGGTTGTTCTATCAATATATATTTTCTAACTCTTTGTTAAAAACTTTTAACTTCTCACTCTTTGGATCCATTCTTCTCCCTAGTTCTTTGATCATCTTTACAATCACTACCCTGAAATCCTTCTCAGGTAGATTGCCTATCTATCTCCACTTAGTTGTTCTTCTGGAGTTTTATCATCTTGTTCCTTCATCTGGAACATGTTCCTCTGTCACCTCATTTTGCTACATTGCTGTTTGTATTTTTATGTATCCGGTAGGTTGGTTACATTTTACGACCTTGGAGAAGTGATATTTTGTGGGAGACCTCCTATGCGTCCCAACAGCACACTCCTCTCTCATCACTCAAGCTGTATGCCCTAGAGTTCTTCATATGAGGATTGCATGGGTCCTCCTGTTGTCGCAGGCTGACTACGTGGGAGGTCTAGTAAGCTTGGTTAGCCCTTGGTCCAATGTTGCCAGGCCCTGTCTCATGTGGAGGTTGCTGGCTGCAGAGGCAGCTGACTGCGGAACCCCACGGGGACCCAGGGATAGTGCTGGGTCATGAGTGGATGGAGTCAGGGTCCAGAAAGCTCTGGTAATATTGTCCACCAACTGATGGGTGAAGCAAGGGTGTTAGTGCCGGTCTACTGGCGGGCAAAGCCATGTCCTGGAGTCCAACTGCAGGGCCCAGGGGTCCCAGGGCTGGTCTTGGATTGCTGGGGGTGGAAGGGGGGGGCGGGGGAGTAGGCGCGGTTCCTGACACAGTTGGGTCTGGGGTGTCTCAAAGTTTGCGTTGGCCTGTTAGTGGTTAGGGCTGGGCCCCAGCTGCTCCCCAGGGCAGGGTCTGGCCTGCTAGTGGCCAGCTAGGTCTTCAGGCTCTGGGATTGTGGTTTTCTTGCATCTAGTGTCTGCCCCCTTGTGGATGAAGCTGGCACAGAGGCTAGAATAGGCTTCCTGGAGGGCAGCATCAGGGTCCAGGGGATTCTGGGGCCGGTACCTGCCCACTGGTGGGTGGAGCTGGGTCCTGGGCCCTTTGATGGGTAAGGCCATGTCCAGAGGCAGCTATGGGCTCAGGTGGTCTTAAGGCAGCCAGTCTGCTGATGGGTGGGGCTGTGTCCCTGCCCAGTTAGCTGCTTGACCTGAGGCATCCCAGCACTGGTGACTGTAGGCTGCTGGGTGGGGCCACGTCTTGGTGCTGATGAGCTAGAAGGAGAGTTTCACAATGGCATTTGCCAGTACCAGTGTCCACATGGTAGGAGCTCCCCAAAATGGCTGCCATCAGTGCTTGTGTTCCTAGGGTGATATGCAGTTGCCTCCTGCCTCTCTGGGAGACATTCCAGGATCAGCAGGTATGTCTGACCCAGGATCCTATCAGATTACTGCTTCTGCCCTGGGTTCCAGAGCATGTGAGATTTCGTGTGCACCCTTTAAGAGTGAAGTCTCTCTTCCTCCCGCCCTTTGGCTCTTCTAAAAGTAAGCCCCGCTGGCCTTCAAAGCCAAATGTTCTGGGGGCTTGTCTTCCTGGTGCAGGACTCCTGGGCTGGGGAGCCTGATGCGGGGCTCAGATCTCTCACTCCTTTGGGAGAACCTCTGCAATGTAATTATCCTCCAGTTTGTGGGTCACCCACCTGGGAGTATGGGACTTGACTATATCGTTGAGTCTGCCTCTCCTACCTGTCTCACTGTAGTTCCTTCTTTATGTCTTTAGTTGTAGAAGATCTTTTCTGGTAGGCTCCGGTCTTTTTCATCGATGGTTTTTCTGCAAATGGTTCTGATTTTGGTGTGCCTGTGAAAGGAGGTGAGCTCAGGGTCTTTCTACTCCACCATCTTGGCTGGGGATCTCTTGATCTGCTTTTCATCCTTTCTCCTGTCTTTCTCCTGTTCTCCAAACACTATGGTGAAGGGCACAAAACAGATTCTTTGTAAGGAAATCTGCCAGTTTCCATCATTTCCGACCTCCATGGTTATCACTGGAGGGAGATTTCCCTAAGGAAACTATCCTTTGAGTATCTCATTAGTAGAAGGAGCCCTTTCTTCTTTCCTTGATTCCCACAAGGAAATGAGTTTTTAATATACTGTGACTAGATAATCTGACCTATAAATTATAGCTTATTCATCTTTATCTTGTATTCCCTTAGAGCAGTAAAATTTGCAGTCTTTTTTTTTTTTTTAAAAATAAACCAAGACATATATGTTCACATGCAGTACACAAAGGGTTATATACTGTTACCTGGTTAGCTGCAGCTCCATCTTTTTCTCTCTAGAATTACAGAGGGATAACCTTAAATCAATTTTAAAAAAATAAATGAAGAGGTCATTACTTGAGATACATATTATAACTGATCATGACACTTTAGGTCACACACATTGCCTGCTTGAGAACTCAGAAGCCACCTTTCCACTTCTATCTAGGAGCCTGCCCATAGTTCCTCTCTCAGTTCCTGTTTGCTCTGAGGATGATCCCTTTCCTTAAGGGAAGATTCAAGCCATCTCCTTTCCCCTAGCAACCCATGATACCATGTGGCCTCAATAGAATATCATCAAAATACAGAAAAACAAGTGGAAGGGAGACTTTCAGTTCTTGATAAATGTTTGTTGAATGGCTGTAATGGTATCCTATTGCTGTTATTTTCAGAATTCCAGGAATCTGCAGAACTATTTCACCACAAGATATGACCTAGTTTTATAGTTCTGGGGAGAAATGAATTTATGTCTAGAACTCAGGAGTGAACAAATAACATCAAGAAGAAGAAGCCAAAAGCAACCCACAGAAGACTTCAATATGAACAAGATAAATTTATCTTCAAAGACATATATTAAAAGTTGGGAAACAATTCATCTGAACTAGAGAAGTGTAGTAGACTCTGAAGTAAAGTGAATGTAGAGACAAGTATATGCCCATATCTCAGGGATCTCCCCATCTCCATCCAGGGAGTGAGAGAATGGGATACTGCAACTCATTTGTCTCAGAATCTTTAGCTATATTGCTGTAATGTTGCTCTGAGGAAGTTTCTAGAAAGTTTTGATTGCAATATATCCACATTTTATAATCCACAAATTAAACTGGTGGATTCAGTAAGAAGCTGCTAATCAGCTGCCACTTCACAATTCAGAGGTAGCTGTATTTTAGTGATGGGTCAAATGATTCACTTTTCATTTACAATGCAAAAGTGCCCTGGCATCTCCTCCCACCTGACACATGCTTAAGATATGTGGAAAATCATCATAATTTTAACATAAAAAATGTAGCTGGGCAACACTGATTTTCTAAACTATGTGAACACCTGATTTTTAAAACAAATTAATACTATTTTACTTCTCAGATGATGTTCATCCTTGAATGGTCCAGGAAAGGAAGACCTCTCATCTTGACTGTGTGTGATATCCTGCCATCACAGGGTTTGAGGCTTCTACTTCATATCCTGCATGGACAGTGACCACCTCAGCTTTCACCAGCGTCTACAGTGGTGGGACACAACCAGGTGACTCTGCACCACCTCAGGGGACACCTGGAAATTCTGGAGACAATTTTGTTGTCACAACTTGGAGGTGCTACTGGCATCTAGTGGATAGAACCCAGGGATGCTGGTCAACATCCTACAACACACAGGCCAGCCACCCACAACAAAGAATTATCCAGCCCAAAATGTCAATTGTGCTGAGATTAAGAAACCCTAATGCAGAGTAAAAAAGGATCTAGAAAACAGGGGAGCAAACAAACCTGTTTGCTTCCTAAAATTAGGCATTAGTTTCTCTCTCTTTGGCTGCTGCCTCAGCACAGAGAGCCAGAACTCAGTTTCAGGCAACCAGGAATTCCTGATGGATTTTCTTCAGTTGGTTGAGCTTCTACGTCCCTTTCCTTTCTTCCTACTCTACAAATCAAGTCCTGTGAGAGAGCTGCCTGAGTTCCATCACAAGTTCTCTCAGTTTGAATTTAGATCTCAGCACTCTGCCTAGTCAAAATTCAAATTAAGGCAGCAAAAACATGTAACTTCCTTGAAACAGAGATTTCTGAAAGCAAGGGCAATGAACCTTTGAAATGAGGCCCTGAGGAATGAAACTTTGATGGAAAAGAATGTTTTCTTGCCAGGCCCCTTCCCACACTTTCTGTATGTTGACCACTGCCTCCCTGGCACTTTGGACCTACTGTGCCTGTATTACATTTTGTTATAGAAAACTTGATTTTAGAGTTCTGACCATTCAAGAGAATGATTAAATATACATTTCCTATGCTGTTGTCTGCCTAGTTTGTCAAAGAATGCGAGTATAAGGGAAAATGGATAAAAAGCCATACATCAGATTCTAAAGATTAGTACATAGCACATAACGGGCCTTCAATAAATGTTTGTTGAATGAACGGATGAATGAATGGATAAATGAATGGGAGGGAATGATAGGAGCCTGTGAGTATGGGCAAGGTGGCTGGGTCTAGTTTCTTAAGGAGACTACATTAGGCTTTACCAGCCTGCCAAGTCTCCATCTGGGAAAATAAGTGGTGACAGTAGACTTGAGGCAGATGAATGTTGGAGAATACACACGGGTGGACAAACCCATTGCTCTAGTATCAAAACAAACAATCTGATTCTTACTAGTCAGGAATTATCAAAGTCTCAAAATCTTAGAGGTGGAAGGACCTCAAAATCCTCTTTCCTAGTCCTTTCACTTTTCAGATGAAGACCCAGAGGCCCAGGGTGAAGTGTGGGTAACTGGCTATCCTCAGGCTATACAACTAACTTGCTCAAAATCACACTGGTAGTTGGTGGAGGAATAAAGTCTAAAGATAATTTAATTGCTAAAGAGCAAATTCCCAGGGGACTTTTCTGAAGTAACTCTGCTGCATTCCCAGCTTGTTCCCAAACGGCCTTTTGCAAGAAGAGAATAATGCTGAACCAAACTAAGAAAGTAAACTGTGAAAGCATAACGACTCCCAACCCAGATTAATTCTTTGGCCTTGTCCATGACCACACAGTGATACGTGCAGAGGCATTAGACACCAGATGCACCGTATTAACTGAAGTACAAAGACGAGAATATGATGTACACCACAAACATCTAGGGAAGCTCAAATCCAGATGCCAAAAGCTAAAACATTTCAGAAGTATTAACAATTCGAGGGAACAAGTCAAACTTCAAGGAGAAGTACTGGCTACCAGCTATACCCAGATTTGTTGCAAGTGTACAGTGACCGCAATCTGTGCATTGTCAATTGGGGGATGGGGCGTGCAGGGGGTCATTACTGCATAATAAGGCTTCTGCCTGATGGCATCTGTGATGTGCTTTGGTTCTGTTAATGAAATTTGTAATTCCTAATCTCCCTCCAGCTGGTAAAGTCTCCATACATCCAACCAGCTGCTGTAATTCAGACTGTCTTACTATACGCCTGAGCACCTTGCTACTTCTAACACTGTCTTATTTCCTCTTTCACATCAATCCTCTTATTTCCTCTTTCACATCAATCAAACTCCAGGAGTTTCAGTATGGGAGCCATGAGTAAAAATTAACAGTCACAAAAACAGAACCTTAGAGACGCTCTCTTGTCTTTAAATTCTCTCTCTCTCGAGCATAAATTCTTCTTTCCCATGAAGCTGTCTTTGAGTGGTCCTGTGCACTATGATTTTACTCTTCTCTAGTCTATACACGCAATTTAACACAAAATCGCACGTTGTTTTTGTCTATTCCTCCTCATTGCTGAGCACTTGGACAGTTTGAAGATGATGACAAAATAAAGATGGGGGCCTAGGCAGTCTTTGGAAACTTGCTCTTAAGAGGATCAAGCAGACATTCCCAGGAAGCTTTGTTTACTGATAGCATCTTCTGGGCCAAAGCAGTTAAGTCACAACTTAGAAAGGGGGTGTCTGTAGTTACCACTATAGGAGCCTCTGTGTCTAATTAACGGCATGGCTCCCCCAGATAATGATATGCCTCTCTCTTCTCAAAGTCATAATTTCACCTGCAGCATTATCTTATCTTTTCAGTTCAAATCTAATTGCCTGGCCTAAGAAGTATCCTTAGCATTTTCAATTATAAGGTCCCTTACCCAAAACTCTAAAGGATACTTTGAATAAGAACTTTATGGATAGCTTAGTCCTATATCCTTTCTTTACAATAAGCCAAAAGTGATGCTCAGTTAATCTAGCCTGTAAGCAGTTCATAGCAAACTGAAACCATTTCCTTTCTCTCTTTGCTTTCCATATTTGCAGTTCCCAAAATTTATTTGTAGTTCCCAAAATTTATTTGTAACCATTATGTATCATTATAAGGAGAACTATTAGGCTTTGATGGATAAAATTCCAGGAACTTATGGTACTTAATATGACTTTGATGAGTCAGATAACCGTATACGACCCAAGTGGTAGGCCCAGGTCTCATGCCTAGGGTAGGTGAGACTGGAAATGTGACAAGTTTACAGCATAAAGACAGTAGTTCCTATTTAGAGGCAGTAGGTACCCCAGAAGAAGCCAAGTCACAGACTGCTAAATGAGGATCTATGAGAAAAATGACAATTGTCTTCAGTTCCTCTCACCTTCCCTTTTATCCATTTTCTCCCATACAGCCCAATCAATGGTCCTCTAGCCCCTGAGTATTCTGTCTTTCCACCATTCTTTCCATCACAACTTCCCCACAGGCACCCCCTCACCCCAAGAAAACAATGCTCCCTGGCATCTAGCCACACATGAGAAGGTAATTTCTCGACTACCTTTTTCATTAGCTTAATGTACTGTCTTCCCACAGAGGTAAATAATCCTCAATTCACTGAAGTAAAGCAGGAGTAAAAATATCCAACTAGTGAGAGATCCTTGGGGTGTCAAGTGTAGACCAAGGACTCTCACTGAGGGTCCAGGGGTGCTCTTTAACAATACAGGCATCACCACTTCCACCCCCATTGCGGGAGTTAAGAATCACTGTGTAACATGAGACATATTTGAATATGTTACCTTCATAAACATATAACTACTGTGGAAATGTGAGGTCTACTGACGCAAATAACCATCTTTAGAGAAAGGAAATCAAGTGCTTCCTAGGTCTCAAACATCATACTAGGTACTTGTCTCATTCAGTCCTTACCTTATAAGGTGGGTATCACCTTGACCCTAGCACCATCACCATCACCATTTTACAGAGGGGAAAACAGGTCCTGAGAGGTTAAGTAGCTTACCAAAGATCATATAAGCCAACAGGCTGAAAAAGCATTCAAACTCAAATCTCTTATCACAACCCATACTATTTCTGAAAAAGTACGGTTATGTGTAAAAGTGCTATAAATATTTGTAACATTATATAAATATTGGCTATTGTGTTATTATATATATTAAACTATGAGGACTCATTGGGAGCTTTCAGCTTCATTGCTCATGAAGATCTGAAGCCATCTGTAAGGAAGACGGCCCTTCTCCCTGGCGGAGACGGCAATGATTCCTAAATTACACTTGGGCATTTCCACCAAAGCCCTTCCCTAACTCCCAAAGGGGCTGGCAGTGAAATTGCAAGCCTCCTCCTAACTCACTCTAACGTCACCTTCATGTGTTCCCAGAAGTTCCTTGGGGACTGTCTCCAAGACTTCAGAAGATGGTTGTAATCTGCTATAACTGTCTTTACCAGATGATCCAAAATGTCTCTTGAGACCAGTTTTTATGTTCCATGTTGTTTGGCCTCAAATATACCTGGAAAGAACATGTTTAATTATTATAAGTTCTTCCTTGAATTCACAAATGTTGAGCACTGGACCACAAATGGTCCTGTCCACTCTGCCAGGACCAACCACACTTTTTATGCAATCAAATCTATCAATTTTTTCCATTTTTAAAAGTTTCTTCTTTTAGTACTTATGTTTACATATGTTTAAACATGGCTTCTGTACCCTGGATTACATTAAAATATTAATCTTTATATTTTAGTATTTCCATGTTTCTTTTTCAACATTTAAATCTTTATTCCATCTGAAGTTAATTTTTTGTATAATCTGTGAGGTAAGGGAGTTAAATGTTGTTTTTTCAAGTGATTCTCCAATACTATTTCTTAATTAACTCATCCTTACCCCTACTGACTTTTAAAATTTTTTACTATATTGCATGTTCTTATATGTATACTTATATCTGTTTCTGAACTTTTGATAACCTGTGAGACCTACAATTTTAACCAGTATATATAGGAAAGGAAAAAGCATAGTTACTTGCAAATATATTCACCCAGCTATTCCCTGGAGATGGCGGTGGGTGGCTCAGACAACAGAAATTTATTTTCTCATAGTTCTAGGTGCTAGAAATCCAAGATCAAAGTGTCAGCAGGTTTGGTTCCT